AGGGGTTGAACAAGTCAATTTAAAGATTTTCTTCCTATCCCTAGTTTCTACAATGATGGTCTGAAAACCTTTAAGGCCCTAAACTCTGTTTTTTTTTTGGCAATGGACACAGGGCATGCAAATGATATTCTCTCATTCTCTCTTTTCAGGAATGCAGTTGAAGAAAACAAAAAATTATATGCAATTTATGACACAAGGTGAGTAACAAAAAGTACTTTTAAAATGTGATTATTATCTATAAATGGAATGTTAATTCTTTAACAGTAACTATTATTAACATTTATTTTAAAACCTTATTTTTCCTGAGCCATGACATAATCTTTAAATTAAGGAATAATAACAAATGTTTTAGATGATCATGCTCAAAATTCTATATCTACCTAATAATGTTTCCCTTTTATAGAGAGAGATTACCCTTTGTATACAGAGAGTATGACAGAGAAATTTACTTACACAGCCATCTTAATTTACATGTTATCCCACAGATGGAATATGGCCCATGATCCCATTCTGTGTATTATGAGCTTAACTGTGGCTGTTTCTGATGCCAATGCTTTGGGACCCAGAGAGAAGGGCAGCTTGGGGAAGAGGGGATGCATTTAGAAAGACAACAAGGCACTTCCACGAGCACAGTGCTGCATCTTGGCAGTGAATGGTGGGGATGTAGCCTCTGTATAAACATACCTCCACACTCTCCACACTCTGAAACATTTCCTTTCCCCCTCCTTAGCATAAATTAAACAAACAAACAAAACAAAACAAAAACAAACAAATAAAACTACCTAGAGAGCAAGACATACATCAGAGTTTCACTTTATTCAATCCGTAGCTTTTTTTTTGTTACCCTGTATTATAGTGTTTTAGCCAGTCCTTATAGAGATACATCAGCTAGAATACTTATTTGATCTTCCTTTAAATATACATAATACTGAATATAAGCAATTCAAACACTTGTCTTCCTCACTCCGTATAACGTCCTGCACAATTTAGCTTTGGTTTTGACGTCAAATTTTGTCCACTCTAGTAAAAATGCATAAACAATAATTATGGCAAAATAAATTCATAATGTTATTGCCTAAATATGAAAACACAAAGAAAAGGGCTATAGCATTCTATTTAATCCAGACTTAGAGAGAAAAGGTAACTGCTTCATATTATTTTGTTAAGAGTAATGTGCTCCTGACAAAGGGATTTAGATGAAAACACTCAAGTAGAAACACTTAAGAATGAAGTCCTATGTAAAATAATTCTTCCTCAACTGCAGCTGCAGTAAAAAAAATATAAATCAAAACCCAGTTACTTGTTTTTCTAAACACAGACTGTGTCTTCATCAGGACAGAGACTTAAAGAGTTGTACTTCCAAAGCACTAAGGCTTCTCTAATGCATTTGTGTTATTTCAGCGCATAATCATTAATCTTTATGATGAAAAAACGTGAGTTATAAAGAGCCTCGATTATTTCTTCCTCTGCCAAAGTGTCAATGGATTTTTATTTTGATGTCTGACTCATAATGTGCATAATCCAGAGGTTTTGCCTCCAAAGAAATGGAACAGTGCAGGAATGCTATTCTAAATTCATTCAGATAATGCAAATTTTTGTTCTATTTTCTTGAATATGAAGAAAAATAACCATCTGAAAATTAAACAGAAGTTCAAAACAAATTGGGTCAAGCCTCTTATCAAAGGCAGGTTTTTGTCCCCATTACTCATATTGATTAATACCTCATTCTTGTGTGGCCCACTGAAACATTAAGATCTCTACTACATCAGAACTGTTGACATAACAACATAAATATTTCAGTATAATTAAATGAAAACCAGCAAATTATACAACCAAAGGAAATGGATTCATGCAACACTGCCTGACAGAAATGGGGACAATGAGTATAAACTCAGCGTAAACTCAACATCAGCAAATATTACATACACTTTCTGACAAATATAGATAAATACATTACATACATTATAAACTAGGTTAATATAATACTGTTTTCCTTGCATAGTATACCCAACAATCATTGCTCATTATTTGAAGAACCAGAGCGCAGCGCATAAAACTGTCCCACTGCAGAGTATTCCCCAAGCCCTGATGCCATGCATCCACTCCCCAGCCTTCTGTTATCACTCTAAAGCTCAATTTCTACTAAGGTACTGTCGTGGTTTAACCTTCTTCCTTTATAGGAAGAAAAGCAAGAAAGCTGAGCTTTCTGAAGAAAGCATTAAGTTTCTGTTGAATGGTGCTTTAGAAAAAATGCCCATCAACTTTTGATTAAATAAAGTAAAAAGGAAACCAAGCTTGGAAAGGGAAAAAAAAAAAAAAAAAAACTTGAAAATTTTCTTGTGGATTTTTTTTTTCCAGCCTGTTTTATTAATTACACCTTCTCAGCAGGTTAAACCAGCAGGCTATTAAAATTGCTGCAAGGCAGAATAGGTAAGCAGCAGCATGAGTCTCAGCCAAGTAAGATTAATGTCCTGTGTTCCTCAGAAGACAACACTTCAGCTGTAGCAGCAATTCTTCCCACATTTCTTTAGTTTCTGTCTGTCTCTGTTTTGTACCTCTGAACCTTCTGTGATTGCAGTTTGCTTCAGGATAAGACTGGATCTCTGTCAAAATCAGTTAAATGACAGAGAAGCCAGAGAGGAAAATGAAAAAGAAAATGTTCTGATAAGTGATTCTGACCTCAGTGTGTAAGTTGGGTTATGTTCATTTTGTCAGGTAAAGCCTCAGTACCACTTTCCAGTGTAAGACCTCAATGATATATTGCATGGTGTGATCAAATACTTCTTCCCTGATTCTCAAGCCAGTCCTTCTCCTACAGTCTGGTGACTGATAGTAGTAGTTCTGCAAATGCATCTGTTGTAAGCAGACCTTTCTCCTTCTCTAGGCGATCCAGTCATTGGCTCCTCTTCTGTATCTCCACTAGTATTGATAGGGATGAACAAACCTAGAGTTCATTCCAAAATTTTGAGTGACTCTTCATTCCATTCCCAATGCCTTCAACAATTTCTATCCTTTAACCAAGGCTGAGTGTGCTCTGCTCTAGCTCCTTCTGAAAGGAGATGATGAGTGCATCCACACAGTACGTTAGGGCAAATCAGGACTGTGCTCATGAATTGAATTGTTTGATCATTCCCACTTACTGTGCTTTGGTTCACTTCACAGAGCAGTCTCAAAGCACATGATCTGGATTCCTTTCTACAAAACTAAGGTGGATAATGCACTCCAGCAGCATACCAAATGTGGTCCAGCTGCTAACAAGAATTTCAAACTGTTTCTAAGAAAACACACCCAAAATGTGTATAGCATGGATGTTGGGTCCTCAGCAACAGCTGTTCTGAGCTACAGAGCAGCCTCAGTATTTGCTAACACCGGCACAGCCAAGGAATCCATTGCAACCCCACTCACCCCAAGGATTTCTTTCACATCCAGGCCTGGCAGGTGTACTCTTCTCCATGTATTTGCATCAGCCCAAGGGCAGTCCTTTTGCTCCTTCACACATAATGCTTGCCTTTGCAGATTAGACTTAATCAATTTTTTGAAGCGTCCTTTACCAATATTGGCAATGCCAAGGAAGAAAACAGTATTACCATACTTGCCTTATTGATTAAAATTTGATCAGGAGCATAGATCTTAACTGTCCAGTGGCCTAAAGGCTAGAACACTCACTGCAGCAGAAACCATGATCAATTTTAGTCCCTGAACTACAACATTTGAAGTCTCATCTTTTACAGGAAGAGTTTTGCTGGAACAGAAAGACTGTATGTTAGAAAAAGAGCAAGAGTGAGAATGAGTTATGATTGTGGCTAAGGGAAGCAGAGAATCAGGTTCCATTTATTTTATCCAGTAATTAGTTCATGAATTACTTGATTATGAAACAATGGGACTTCATAGATAACAGCCAAACCAGTAGGCCACAAACTCATGTTAACTCTTTCCCCCTCACTTATTTAAGTATTTGCTGTAAAGTGAACCATTTCAAAAGAGAAAACCTTACCTTGATGTCCTGCAGCTCACACTGATCTCAGGAGACATGTCCTCAGCTGTTCTTGGACCTAGCACCTGCATGCTCTGACTGGGTGCTTTGTTTTTCTGAATAAAAGTAGCCAGACTCCTTCCTGACTTGTTTAGGAGCTTCATTCCGGGAATAGAGTAAGGGTGGTGAATTTTGGGGCAGAACAAGGAACCTATTTCCGTGCCTTTTTCTTCCTACTGACCACATTAAACAGCTCTCCAAAAATCTTTGCATCCATCATTTCCTTAAATACTCTGTGCTCCAAGGAGCTTGTCTGAGCCTCACCTCCAGACTGGTGCTACAGAAGATGTGTTCTGAGTCTTCTCTGTGCGCAAAACCTGAAGTGCCATTTTCACAGTAAATGTCACATGTACAGAGAAGTCAAGATGATTTTTACCTTTCATGAAATTCATTCTAAATTTCTCATTTGTAATGTCATTCAGCTATTGCTAAGCCTAACTGAATTCAAAATCCCAAAGAAGAAATGCTCCAAAACCCCCTAGCTACTTTCCTGTCCCATCAGCTCCAGCCTGGGTTATCTTTAAAACACCCACAAATACATAGAAACAATTGCTCTGAAAGCTCAGGAAGATAAATACTTAAACGAAGTGATAAAATGTCAGACTCTACATCACTTTTGATTCATTCATACCTCAGATGTGTTTTCAAAGTACCAGAATAGTGCATTAATCAGAAGTACTGTTCTCTAAAATATTTTATTTCTGTTATAAAACTGACATCCTATTTAAGAAAAGTTATTAGTGTTCAAATACACTTTTAAATCACATTAAATTCTTTGTAAGAAATATTTTCATTGGTGTTAATGTTCTCTTCCGGCATTTAGGGAGACAGAAATGGGTTGGTACCCTTCCCTAACTTCACTTTCTCTGAAGACTTTGAAAGATCTAGTGTTCAGGACTGCCCATCCCATAGTATTAAAAACGAAGAAACAACAACAACAACAAAAAAATGATCCAGGTTTCTCAAATCAGTTATGTATGTACATACAGGTGTTTAATGTTTGAGCCCCTGAGTCAGGTATACTTCATGTCATGACTCTCAAGTTTTCAAATAAAAGATAAGATTTCACCTACTTTGTAATCATAGTAATTATGGCACTGTTAAAACAAACAAACAAAACAAACACACAAAACCATCACCACAACAACAACAAAAAAGCCCAACAACTTATAATGAAATCAGATTTGGCAAAAGTCAATTCCTCCACATTTTTCCTCATGGCCTATATGCTTTTTCATTGTTTTTAAAGCTGGGCCTGCTCTCCCCTTTATTGTAGGTTTCTTATTAATTGCAGTGGCAACAGGGTCAGTACATACAACATGGACTGCACTCCTCTTTCTTCTCAAGAATTTGTTGGGGAAGACACAAAAAGCTGTCCGTGCTTTCTCACCCTTACAAAAAAACTCAGCATTCCTCAAGTGTCTGTCCTCTTCCTTGCAGTTTCTCTGAGGGAAGAAGAGATGTAGAAAGTAAAACAGGTTGTAAGAGAAGTGCAAAAAAATATGTATTGTTTCCCTCCCCTTGCCTAGTAAAATTTTGTGCTCTGGGATAGATCGGTGCCCACCCATTGTGGTGTAACCAGAACCCGGAGCTGGCTAGGGATATGTTTATGCTGCCGGTAGGGCATGGCAGAGAGGTCCCTGTATTGGCATTGACAAAGAGCTGGCTCTGGAGCCGAAAGCAATATAGCCAAGTCAGCGTGCTTCTGTTTCCACGCCAATTAGTCCTGCTGAAAGGCCTAATTAACCTGGAAGGAGGTTAACAATAACAACAACTGCGCTGCCTCCACCCCAACTAGCATTTCACCAGGAGCACCCAGAGCCTCGCAGGCAACCCCACAGCCAGCGGGCAGCCCCCGCAGCACGCCTCTTTGGCACGGGGCCGTCTCCCTTCATTACCCCGGGGTAATTAACGAAGACTGGGAGCCGGCGGGTTTGGCTCTCGGTAGACACACGGCGACAGCCACCTGACAGGCCGGGTACCCCCACACGTCCCCCTGCCATGTCGGGGGACACCCCCGTGCCCCTGGCACCCCCTTGGAGCCCCGGGGCGTTGCTCCTGAGGGGCTGCGGCCACCTGAGAGGCGGCGGGGGGGCGGCTGCCCCCTCGCCCCCGGCCTCACGGAGTGGCTATGACAGGGCAGTGGGGTGGCCGTGATGTGAAGGGGGGGTGGCCATGAAGGGGCGGGGGGTGGCCATGATGTGAGGGGGGGCTCTCAGGGGGCGCCGCGGCTTGCCCCGGCTGCCAGCCCCGGTGCTCGAGGGGTGCCCGGGGAGCTGTCCCCGTCGCCCCCGGCTGCTGCCGGGCCCCGTCCCCGGCGAGCCCCCGCTCCCCGCGGCGCCCTCCCCTCCTCTCCTCTGCCGGCAGGCGGGAGGGCACCGGCGGAGGGCGGCTTCCTCCGGGGCTCGGCGGCCGCGGGGTGGGCGCGGGCGGCTGCTGCGGTGTCGGGGCGGGGGTGGGGGCTTTTTTTTGGGGTGGGAGGGCGGGGTGGGGTGGGGGGGAGAACGGGGGACTGTCGCCTCCGCCTCTTCCTCAGCGGCAGCCGGGGCAGCCGGATCGCGGCGGTGGCGGCGGCGGCTGCTGCTGCTGCTGCTGCTGCTGCGCGGAGGGAGCCCGGGGAGGAGGGATGTGGGGCTTTGGGGGAGGCAGGATCTTCGGGATCTTCTCCGCTCCCGTCCTGGTGGCCGTGGTCTGCTGCGCCCAGAGGTAGGAGGCAGCGTGCCCCGGCGGCGGGGGACCGCGCTGATGGATGGGCTCTGCCCCCCGCCCCGCTCCCCAACCCCGGCCCCTGCCTCCCCCGTCTCTCTCGCCCCCACAGTGTGAACGATCCCGGCAACATGTCCTTCGTGAAAGAAACTGTGGATAAACTGCTGAAGGGCTACGACATCCGCCTCCGCCCGGATTTCGGAGGTGAGTGGCACCGGCCGCCGCTTCCCTCATCCCCCCCGTTTTGTCCCGGGGCTGCCCGGCCCGGCCCGGCCCGGCCCGGCTCGGCTGGGCTCAGCTCGGCTCCCCGAGTGTGCTGACCCAGTGTGCTCTGCCCGCAGGTCCGCCCGTCTGCGTCGGGATGAACATCGACATCGCCAGCATCGACATGGTTTCCGAGGTCAACATGGTGAGTGAGTGAGGGGGTGCCCGTCATCCCCCCTCCCCTTCTCCCCCCCCATTCACCGCCGCTCTGCCCGGGCAGGTCGAGCCCGGCCGGGTGCTGAGCGCAGCCCCTCTCGGTCTCCAAACTTTCCATCCCTGTAGGACTCGCTTTTTCGGATTTCGCTCCTTCCTCTCTCGGTGCGAGCAGAGCGGGGCTGGGGCTGGCAGCGGCCGCCCGTACAGTCCGGGCTTCTCGGGGAGGGCGAAAAGCGGAAAAAAAAAAAAAAAAAGGGGGTCTCGGCGGCGGCCAAGCTCCCACCCGAGCACCGGGGAGCGATGCTGAGAGCACCAGGACCGGGCTGCACTTGGGAGGCATCTCGCTTTTTGCTCCTCCGAGTGGTTTTTCGGGGGCTGTCGGGTTGACCGAGGGACCGGCGTGCGTTCAGTGCCTTGCTGCAGCCCGGCCCCCGAGGCAGCGCGGCTGGGTGGGCAGGCGTCGGCAGGTGGGTTTGCCATTTCTTGTCCTGATCCTCAATCCCAGGTGGAGTTTCTGAGCAAATTCTCCGTTCCTCCTCGGTCTCGGGTTCTTCCTCCTAGCCTTCCTTTAGCAAACCTAGCGTGTTTTTTTTTTTAGTAAAACGAGCGGGCTGCGCTGTGTTTCTGTGTTTCTGTCTATGTCATTACAAATAATCCTGTACATTAAAAAGCCGAGCTATTTTTCAGAAATTAATGATGCTAACACCAGCTGTACCCCTCCTTCAATGCATTGTTGCAGTGTTACAAGCTGACAGAGCCTGGCTTTGTAGGTGATCTGTGTGTTTTACTTAATTCTACCCCATTCTTCCCCTGCTTTACCCAAAATGCTGAGATAGAAACTTTTTGCTGTGCTTCTGATCTTTTACAGATGTTTTATGTAGACATACAGCCTGTTTATGGTTAAAGCGCCACCAACATCCTCCTGTATACTCATTTAGGAGGGGCAATTGAGGTAGCTCTCATTTGTAAGAGTTTGTTTTAGGCTTCCTGCAAATTCAGGCAGCAGCAGAGACATCTCTTATATTCCACAGGCTCTCCTGTACCTGTAGCATTGCTTCTCAATAAAATGAAAGCTGAGTCCTTGAAGAGTAATTCAGAAGTCTGACTTCACTGTTCCCACTGCAACCTTCCCACCTTTGGCTATGCTTCATTCTTAGCAAAGCAGTGAATTACAAATTGAATTTATATACAACATTCTCTATGTGTGAAGTGCCGCATTGGCAGTAAATATGAAAAACAGACCAAGATGTGAAAGAAAATGACAGGATATGCAGTGAATTTTTTTTTTCAGCTATGGGAAAGCCTGTTACATTTAAATAATTTGTCCAACCCACTGTTGCAGGGATATGAGGAAAAATTACATATGCTGCTTGTTATGCTGCTAGACTGAGCGTTTAGATTTTAAATGAGACAGGAGCTCCTCGAGAGGACAGGTGAGCCAGCCCAGTACTTGCTTTAGTTTCTAGCAGGAGTACAAGTTAGTGCCTGCTGTTTCCCATGACTTGGCAGAGCATTAAAGAAACGAAGAGTTTCCTTCTATGTCCTCTAATGGGGCAAGGCAAAGTCTAAAAAAAGAGTAATCCTGATCTTCCAACAGAAACAAAGAACTGTTTCTGAAAGGAAGTACTGAAGTATTGTTGGTCCAAAAACTGTACGTATTTACTTCAGGAAAAAATGAGCAGAAAGGGCATCTGGTTGGTGAACTACAGCTGGACTTGCAGTTAGTTGGTCTTGTCGCTTATGTCTTGGAAAGAAGTCTTCTTTGACTAAACCTAGCTGTATTCAAGCACTGTCTGAGTTGATTAATTTCAGTTATTCAGGTAACTTCATACTCATCTGCAAAGATTCTTGTGTAAATATCAAGAAGCAGTGAATAAGGAAGAAAAGAAGGAGCTTTTCAGAATTGCTGAAGCTTACATTTTAAGATAGTACTTTGGAGGGGAAAAAAGTCACTGCTAGTTTAAAGATATGAGGTGTGTCTGGTGAACTTCACGCTAGTTACCAATGAAACTTTTAATCTTTGACATATTCTTCTATTTAGTGCCAAGCAGATATTTTTAGCTTCGACCTTTAGCCTCATTAACTATTGAAATGTCTTACAAGAATCTCTCTGAACTGTGGTAGCATGGACATTAATTCCTTTGATTTAAATCTAGACATTGGTGTAACCTTTTATAAATTAGCTTGTTAAAATTCATCTCTATATTAAAAATAAAATAACCAGGGAATTAACATTCTTCAATTTTATGAATATAAATAAAAAGTTATTACAGCAAGTTTTATTGTACTGCCTTCTAGGCAGCCTGTAATGTAGCTTTCAGTGATATGATGACAATTCTTTGTAATAAGAATTACAGCTTGTGTCATACTCTTCTATTTTTAATCAAACTGTAGTCTTATTCTCAATGAATCTTCAGTTACTAGGTATTCACTTCACTTCCCAATGGTTTAAAAAATTATTTGTGTATTTTTGGTCTTCCTGTTGAAAATTACTGGAAGTCCTTTACTCTCCATAAGTCCAGGTTACCTCCAGCTATCTTTTAGGAGAGACGAATTGAATAGTAATATACATCATACTTAGGTTACATGGAAAAGTTAACATTTTTCTTTACTTATGGTGCTGTAACGCTAAGCTGGATCAAGAGAACTGATGCAAGTATCAGATTGTTCTACTGCAAAATTTTAAATCAGCAGTTTCTATTTGATTTCATAACGTCTTGAAAACATCGAGGAGCTTTATTGTTACTTGACCATACTATTTACATCATACTGAAAATACAAAATATTTATGAAGTAAAAATAATATGCTTTCATGTTTATACTTTTACATATGTGGTATCAACAATAGATTAATCAAGTTGAATGTACGAAGCGCATTTTTCAAGGAAGGGCTGCAGTCTGTTAATGACCTGCAAGTATAAATATGTGTAAATATACATATATATATCCATAAGTGCTTTATTTCCCTACTATACTTATGCATGCTTTCACATGATTATTTGCCTATTTCACAAAATTTACCTGAAATTGGGTACTTAACCATCTACTTGTTTTTGTGCATACCTACAGTAATTGCATTTAAAACTACTGTAAGTGCATGTAAATTGTACGTTAATGTATATCTCTAAACAAAATACTAATTGATAATATCAGAATAATACTGAGAAAATACTATAAATGCTTTTTACCAAAAAAAGAGTACTGAAGACTACAGTTGTCTTATTACAATAGTTTAGCTTTATGATACATAATTTTACATGATTTTGGTTGATTGTGTTCTGTACTTTCTCTGTTTGGGAGGAATGTTTTCCTTGGTTGATGCAAATTGAAAGAGAGTTTTTATGCTTTTTACTAGTCTGTCAACCTGTTTCTGATCAGACTACATCCACAATTACTGAATTTTTATAGTCTGTTTTTTTCGTTGTTGTTCAACATTTGGTCTGTGAATCAAATGTGTTAGTTCCAGACATATAATTTTCAAACAGCCAAATCCTCCCATAGCGTTTTATCCCTAAGAAGTTAAATAATCAATACATTGACTCTCCCAACAACCCCCTCTTTAAACTCATCATTGTAGCTGGAAGACTAAGGTGCTGTGCTTTCATTTCCCCACCATTTTAGGATGTGGTTTATAGCTTATGGGAGATAAAGCTATAAAGTGGATAGAGAAAATGAGGGGATCAGTACAAAAATGAACCCTTCTCCTTAGAGATAATGTTTTGCAGAAAATAGTGTGATCTCCTGAAAGCAAGGAATCTTGTGCTACTACTCACTAAACTGCTGTCTGCATTCTCTTTGTGCATACAGGGGACTTCAGAGCTGTTGATCCAGGGTTTTTCAAAAGCTCTAATTTCAATAAAATTAAACCAGGAAAACCCAGGAGGCATCATTGGCTATATAGTCCTCCTGCTGTTTTTGAGAATACTGTACTAAGAAAATTAGTTTGACATAAAGTCAGATCATAAAGCTTATGAGTTGTTGTATCTGAAAAAGATGTAATCTGTTCCATGCTAGCACTGTAATTTTTTATTTTTACATATGTTCCAATATAAAACTTCAAGTACACATATGGACTCCATTGGGTGCCTGCTATTTTCTAAGCAATTTTGACATCTTTCTGACAAACTGTGTTTTACTTGCTGCTTTAAGGTCAACTGAAGTTCTTACTTAGGACAAATATTGCCTATGTTCCTTAGATAGCGATGCATAAAGCATTATTTCTAGGTGAATTAATTCATACTTCACCTGAAGTACTGGAGACACTGAACCTTCATGCTTCCATTGCTGAGACTTGTCTAGTCTTTCTTTAGATGCCTGAAAAATAGGGTGTGACTCAGTTCATGTAAACTGAACAACTGTATGCAATTAGTTTTCTAAATGTGAGTCGGATTGGTACACTCTGGGACTGTAGTTAATGGAGATGTAGGACAGAATTTGTCTGCTTAGGCAAAGGTGTCTATTGTCATTCTGCCTCTCATGCATCATACTTGCCCTCCAATTTCCAATTCATAAGTTCTGTGTCATGTCTGCATGCTCTGTGCAGCTGTGTTGGATGTCATACCAGCTGCTGAAGTTTAAACAATTGTCTTATCCTTGTCAATACAGCCAATGGAGATCTATTTAGCTTAAAATAAAGAGGACACTTAAATAGTACTTCCTAAATATGTGAAATGCCCCAAGGTATCCATTTCGGACTCTGACTACCAGTCCAGAAGGGTACAAGACTCCTATAGGTCTTGTGCTGTACCTTCCAGACCTATGCAAATGTTTTTACACAATCCAGAGCATCCAAAACAGCACCAGACAGCCACATTTAGGTAAGTGAATTATTTCCTTATTAGGAAATTCCAGCCCTTAGGCTGCACATCCCAAGCTCATCATCCATGTTCCTTCAAGAATCAGGAGGTGGAGGCAGACACCGAGTCTTCGGGCAGCCACAGTGCTAGGCACAGTGAAATGTAACCTCCATTTTCTATCATAAACATAACC